ACCAAGCTTACAAGTCGATCCATTGGTGGGAATCGGACCCGGGCTCCTGGTCCCGAACTAAAGCCATCGAACCATGGATCCCTCGGTCGAAATCCACTGACCACGCGAGAATGCATCGCTACCCAGGTGGATCGGAGCTTTACGCCAAGAAACTAGTACTCGATACTTTCCCTCCTTTAATATCCAAAATTTAAGGCACGTAATCTATATGCTGCATCCGGGTGACAAAAAGGGACTCTGGTCGAGCTGGACCCGTGTGTGATCTATAGATACCTCGTTAGGCTCACTAAGACTGTCGATCGACATCAAGATTCAATTCCGCGGCTCAATTACAATATAGACAAGACTCTGGAACCATGGTTACCTACCTCCCGAATCCTCCGAAGAATTCAATAATGTACTTTTGCCTTTCTAGACCCACGATATGTCTTACCCTAGAATCGATACGCAGTGAGACACGCAGTTACAGTGACATAGCAAAAGTTTGAGCACCCCAGATTCTGCCGGTCAGTATCCACCAATAAAAGGCCGAGTATACCAGACTGTATAGCTATTCCAGGAAGGCGGTAGTGGAAGGGAGTGTCCAAACTTTTGCTATGTCACTGTATATACTTTTTACTCCATACATACAACAGTACGGAGCAGATAGGCCTTGATAAGTGGGTCGCCGCTAGAATGTCCATCCAGGGCTATATTGGACATGTGCACAATCTCACCTCCGCGGAAATCTAGGTGTCCCACTCTAGGCGCTTATCGCGCGGATCCCATCAAAAAGCAACCCATGTTTGACCAGCCATGCCGTCTCCACCACAACGACATGAACTAGCAGTTCATATTTACGACGTACATTGGCTGCGGTGAGATACTCACCGGACTCGCATGGAGAACGAGCATCTCAAATGGGTCAGACCCATGACGTGGCCAGTACAATCAAGACACAAGGTCTCACATGCCGACGACACCGATACAACACCTGCCCAGCCCTTTTTATGGCGGGTACCAGTTGCATATCATACATTCCAGAGCTCACCGCCTCGATTTCAGCGCTTGCCTTGGAGCCAATCTCAGATCGCAGGCGGGGATGCTTGCATTGAGTAAGGATCTCCTGCACCTGTGGACTGCATCATCAAGATCGGGGCGGGGCCGAAATTCTACGATTTGAAACTTTCCATGCAAGACTAGTGGTCTTTTTTAAATGGTTGCCTCCTTTTTCTAATGCGACCTGCCCAAATCAAAACATACAGTGTATGCATCTTCCTGCAAGCCATCTCCCGGGAGATCTCGGGCGCTCGATCTGGGATTTCAGGCAGATGCAGTTGTTCTCTCGATTTCTGCAGTACGTTATACCGTTATACATGAATTCTATAGATCTCCCTGTATGTTTGCCTGGATATTGTTTGTATTACGCAAAATACACAAATCACCAAAAATCAAGGAGACTAAGCCAACATTGAAATTCAATAGTCGGACCCAGTCGGCAGGTACCTCATTCGATTCGTCTCCACCCATCGCCCCGCAGCCTCCTGCTATTGGCTCCGTCTAGATAGACTTTCCACCAAAAACGGTATTTCTGGTTACCCGATTCCAATAGGTCAGTCTACCAAACCCCGATCCCACTATGGAGTCAGCCGCTCGATCTAGTCTCACCCGGGAAGGATAGGTCGTTGAGGAATCAAAAGGGGAACGAAAACGAGGAGGTTGACCGGGGTTTACCTCCATCCAATCAGAGCACGGCTAATTGATCTGCCGAAAATAGGGTTCTATGCTAGTTTATGAAGAAGATGATCGAGATATTCCTAACTTGTCGTACGGAGTACGGAGTACAGAAAACACATATGTTGTACCTACATAGGGTGTTGAACTTGTGTGTTTCGGATAGATCCGCTGCAGTTGGCAATGTAATGCCTGCATTTAGGTAAATAAACGATAATGCAATAATAGTTCATACTTAATATACGAATGTGCAGATGCAGATACTAATGCAAGTCCGTTATTTCGGTACGTCTTCCACGGCGAAGTCCGATGGTCAATATTGTACTCCGTACTCCGTATGTACGTATACGGAGTACTACCTAATGTACCTAGGTAATAGCATGCTACCATATACTATAACCAGCAAAAGCAGGAAAGACAGAAGAAGAGAAGAACAAGAACCTTGGGCTCCACTCAGGTTATCCCATCCCTAATTTGGTATAACGCGGGAGGCCCGAGAGCCTGCTTCAAATACCGATCTACCACTGCGCGCTTTTTAGCTCCTGACAATCTACCACAAGGTTAGGTCGCGTGGGCCTTCACGGGAATACACCGACATTTATTCCAAACAGAGTTCTGACCACAGGGAGAGACCGTCGCCGTCGTCGCCGTCTGCCGCACCCCCCCAAAAAACGAACAGTTTGCAGTTCACCGCGCAAACCATTGAATGCGATCTATAGGATCTCACAAGATAGAGTTTTCTGTCGGGCACTGATCCAAGGCTTATGCGGCACAGCACAAGCCTATGGACGACCAAGAGCGTCATGGGCATATTTTTCTACTGCATACTCCGTACTCGGTAGATCGGTATAGCCAAAATGGCGATCGTAGAAGATGGTTCCATATATGAAATTCCTTCTCCGTACGGGAGCACGCTTATTCAGTTTTTCGGTTATCTGCCGAATGAACTTCGGTAGTGATATCCAAGCGCGATAAATGGATACGCGAAGGTTCGGTAGTCCTTTTCCTTCTGAATGATTTTCTGGTACGAGATGGAGATTTTCACGGAGATCCGAAGAGTCCAATGCGCCACATACGAGTTATGGCACCACCCATCCCTTTACCGTATGGAGCCCGCCGCCTAGAACTAAATAGACTCTCTCGGAAACAGCTTGTAGAACTGACGTAGAAATGAGCGGCTTTGTCGGCAGCGTCTCGGCCATGTCTCGGGCGAGTCAGGAAGGTGCTGGAAGACGGTGGAAATGAATTTTTCTGGGACAAGAAAATCGGTTCGAGTCAATGTCCCGTTCTGTGGCAAGGAATATCATGCCATCTCGTTGTAGAGTAGGGAGGGGGTATGTAACATGAAGAGTGGCCCCAGGTGGCCCGGGGAAAGGATCGGGATAAGTCAGCACGTCCAAAACGGAAACTGCATTCCATGGCTCTGTCCAAGATTGGCTCTACGCCACGTTTTGTTTTTCTTGCTCTTTTTTCCGAAGTTTGCTTCTCCCTTTTTAGTCCCAATATATAAAAATATGTACTACTCCATAGTAGGAAGGAGACGAAGAACGTTTTGCAGGTACGGCTAATGGCATAGATCCCCGCAGGGATAGGCGAACGTGGGATCTGGGATCTCGATCGATTTGATTTTGCCAACCCTGCTAGCTTCCTTTCTAAGAATATACGAATTTCGTGGCAAGTAATACTCCGTCATTGTCCCTCGCAAACCCCACCTACTAAACTAGCGGAAGTAAACAAAAGGAATGAGGAAACAAAGAAACCCCAAAATGACCAACTTTTACGCATACTAATAAAGCAAATTGCTAGTACTCCCTTAGTGAGCCTAGTGAGCACACCTTAGGACAGACTATGGGAATTTTCCAAACTACCGGAACAATGGCCATGCTTGCCGATTCCTCCGAACATAGGTTCCCCATTTGGACTCACAAACTAGGTAAGCTGTCATTTCGACCTCAATAACAAATCTTGAGACGCGGCTTTTTGATCCACCTATTACATACCTTACATAGAGTGGAATGTGGCGGTCTGTAAAGAAGGCTACCATGAGATCGCACAAAGTATTAGATTTGATACAGATATTATGTTACATTATAGTAACTATATAGTACTTCCAAGGTTAGTTAGGGTCTTACATGTACATTTCTTATGTTCATTGGAAGATGTACTCGGTATACTCTGTATTTAGTACGTATTTAATCTAAATCTAATTTGAGATCCCATTTCCGATCCCGATCCAATAGATCGGATCTAATTGTCTCAATACAAATACTTGCAGCGAATGATCGCACTCCAACCCCGCTAGTCGAGTAATGCGGTTCTTTCACTGTACAAAATATTGAAGATGTGAAACCCGCTTCTAGATTAGTCAAATTACAAACTTCCATTTAATATGAATATCCTATATATTAGCCCATTGGTACGTACAATATATGTATATTGTATAGCGAATAGGACCTTGTAAAACAGCCAAGGAATCATGCCATATTTCTCATTGCCACAATGCATGTGGCCAATGTCCATTAAAAAAGAAAACATGAACTGCAACCCAGAAAATACGCGAGATCATGCCATATGGCCAGGCGTAAATATAATTAGGAATAAGTAGAGTTACCCCGGAACCGACTTCGGTACCGAGGCTTTGGGGCGGGACCTCACGGCCGAGACTACATGTGGTGACACCTGGATTTACATAGTTGAGATTTCGATGATATTCAATTGGCATTGCCATTTCACGGAACAATTCCAGGGCTATCCATGCACACATTGGAGAATAAAAGCAAGCGTCATAAAACCTTCAAAGATCGAATATCAAATATCGACTAGGAACCATAAATGTAACGCTGAATGAGACACGATCGTACACATCATATCAGGGACATACTCGAACAGAACAGTTCAGGGAACAAAAAAAAATATGCAGGGTACAAACCGATAACGGTATTGAGATAGACCGGAACAGTGAGAAGGTAAAAGAGGGAAAAAGGAAAAAGAAAAATCAGAAAAAGAAACCAGTTTCGGACCAGGCCAATGGCTATTGAATCATCAAAGGGGGAATATCTATGCTGAAGCCGTTTTTCTCCCAGTACCTTGAAGCTGTTGGGGGGTATTATATAAGAGCACCGAGTAGGGAAGAGTCCCAAAATAAAAAAGATCACAAAGGGATGACATAAAAACCAGAAAAAAAGATGCCGAATAGGGAAAGATAGCAGAATTCCCAAAGAAAATGGCCACCGAACTCCGTTGCCTTCTATTTCCCACCTTTTTCAACGCCACATGAAGAAAGAAGCTTAATGACTGGTTGGTGAGGCGGAGCCGAGAACCGACTTGGGCTTCAGATTTGAACCCATGCTTACCGCCTTGTGTGCGCCCATCTTGCGAGTCAGCTTGGCGTAATGTAGACCGCAGGCGTTACACAACGTCCGGGCACCATCTGGACCCCGACGCCATTCTGGTGTTTCGGCTCGGTTACAGCTGTGGCAACGACCAGGAGGGGCCGCCTTCTGTAAAACAGGGTTAGCCAAACACATTCAAGGTGTGGGGTGAATGACAGGGTCTCATTCCGGGGAGAACTAGAGTCCAGAACTTACTCCCCGCCGTTTCTTTGGGTCTGCGCCTGCAAAACCGCCCGTGCCTTTGAACTCTTCTTGGTACATCGCCATGTGGTCATCTTCGGTCTTGAACGCCTTCCGCTGCGCCATCTGTTCAGCGAGAGCCTGTTCTTGGTTCACCACGGCCGAGCGTATCCGAATGAGGGCATCTTGGTTCCGACGCTGCATATGGAGCATGTCCTCCACTTCGTTTAGCGAAGGGAGGGACCCTAATAGCGGGCCAGAACGCTGTGTCTGATGTGCACGAGCCGCGTAGTGCCGTGAAAAGTCTAGGGTTCGCGTACTTAACTCGGCGATCTGGTCCACAATGTCAGCCCACATGTAATTTCCACAGATTTGAATAAGCCATTTATCAAATTTTGTCCAACGTGGTCCAAAAATAGGAACGATGGTCAAGCGATTTGAAAAGAAAAAGGGAAGAAGGAAAATCCATACCTCATTCAAAGATGTCTCCACATCATAGACATCAAGATGGCGCTTTCCAGAGTCGCTATGGGGAGGACCTGGTCGACCCGCAAACCCACCCTTGACTTCTTCCACACGTGGTGCACCCATGTAGGGACGATTGTCGTAAGGAGGAGGGTATGAGTGGCCACCGGACTGAGATTGGAAGGTGTAATTTGGAGAGAAATGGCCGTAACCATTAGGCGAAGCCACGCTACCGGCGGAGGTTGGCGCACTGTACTCATACCCGGATGAATTTTGCGATCCAACCGACGTGATTCCTGTCTTGGCGCTCTGTGTAGGGGATTTGCCGGTGCTGAGGGAGTGTAGTGAAGGGTTGCGCGAATCTTGCGTGTTGACGGAGGCGAGACTGGAGCGCGATGTATCCTGCAACTGAGGTTGATGAGGGTAACCGGGTTCCCGCATTAAGGGTCCCGTTGGTCCATTCGAAAAGGGATTGGGTGGTCCAGCTGGGCCTTCTGCGCTCGGTCGTCCGACGAGATGTGAAGGCGGCGCAGGGTGTGCGGATTGTGGTGGTGGAGCGGAGGTAGATGCAGGGTATGGGAGAGGATTGTCATTTCCGAGGGCCTCGTGGATTGATGGGAGGGATTGCCTTGGAGTGTGTTTTTCCTTTTCATCTTCAAGGGCGCGACGTGCCTCCGGCGACGAGACGTACCCTGGTGGTGCATTCGACGCGTAGGAGTAAGGCAAGGGTTGTCCGGCGTACATGACGTTCGGACTCATCAGAGGAGTTGGAGAACCAGTGGCGCTCGAAGGGTGTCTGGAGCTGTATCCCGATCCGTCTTTCCCTAGGAATCCTATCGCGGGTAAAGGGTCTCTGTGAATCGAAGGTTGGTGAGCAATGGGAGACTGACTGAGCTCGCGAGACCAACCTGTGCCTAGATGCGGCTTCCAAAGACCCCATCACGTTGATAAAGAATTCAATGTTCCAGAAATAAATAAGGAAAACAAAGTTCAAGGTCGGAAGTCGCCTCTCGTGCGACAGAGGAAAAGCGTTCCACCTGTTCGTGCCGAAAGTGATGGAAAAGAGGCCCAGATCCCAAGATCCAACCGATCCAAAGATCCCGGGGGCGAAGGTTGGAAGCTGTGGCGTTCAGATGGAGCCCGAGTAACCCGATGAGTTGACCAGTAATCACCTTCTCTTTTTGCCTCTTCTTTTTTAATCGCTTCTCTCTTTTCTTTCCGAAGTCAAAATTAATGAAACTTAGGAAGAAAAATAGAAGAGGGAGAAAGAGCTAGAGAGGAAGAATAAAATAAGCCCCTCCAAAAAAAAGTAGTATCGTAAAACCTTGATCAAAACCGAAAATGAAAAAGAGAAAAAAAAGTCAAGATCGCAGACGCAAGGGATATAAAGCGTGGAAATGGGAATGTCAATCCAAATATGAAAGCACGAGGTGGAATGGGGATAAATATAAAAGACACCTTAAGAGAGGGGAAAAGCCAAAACCCAAAAATCAAAGGGGATCGAGGCTACTTCATTTCGGGCTTTAGATTGAAAACGGGAAGCTTAGAGAGGAGTACAGGAACTTAATGTTTTATATTTTTATTTATTTTGGCTATCACAATGTAAATTAAAAAAGAAAGATTTAAATGAAAAAAGAAAAAGATTAAAAACCTTGGAATAGATCGAGATCCGAACAGGGGGGAAAATTACTGCGAAATTGCCAGATCGTCATAGCCTGGTTTTATTTACAAGGCAAATTACCAACTGCGGGTCATCGGGATCATACCTATCACTAGTTGGGCCGAGTACGTCTTTAGTGTCTTGATATCTCAGTGGAGCCAAAGAATAATTATTGATAGTTTTCTTTATGTTGTAGAGGCTGTGCAAACTACGATGTACTCCGTACATATCTGATTAGCTATGTCATTGGATACCTCTGGAACCTGCAGGGTGTCCTCGGTGTCTGTTATCCAGAGACACAATGCGACACTGCTCAGGAACCTCTAACATCTTTGTAGTACATACATAATGTTTCCTACATAGTAGCCACCCAAACTATCCAATATATTCTGAACACTCATATTGGTTAATATCAAATATTAAGAAAGAAGAAAGAGAATTAGCCTACCCCAGAAGCTAGGATCGATCGAGAGAATCGGCCGATTCTCAACGTGCTAAGGGACGGCTGGATACCCACGGAGTAGTCCAACAGGAAGAGGAGCTAGCGGACGATGGTTCTAGCTCATCATAGTGTTCTAGTATTCTGGAATCTATTATTATATTACGGGTACATATATAACAAATAGGGCAGGGTAATCTAAGAGTAATCTTAAGATCGACTTGACGACAAGTATCATGTACGAGTACCTGTATATGCATCCGTGTCACATGAGAGAGATCTCCGATTCAGAGTGGATAAGATGTCAGCCTCGGGCCATGAACTAAACCTCAAGTTTTGGAGGTTAGACTGGGCTTATTAATTCTTATTAATAGTGAAGGACATGATGTCAGATCCGTTCTGGTGCCCACGAGTGCTCCAATATTACAGTAGTCTAGGGTTTAAGGCAACTTGGAAGGTGACCTTAGAAGATCTGTTCACGTTTTAGCCTGTATGCCTGTAGCCTGTGCGCGAAATACATCCCAAAGCCCCGGGTTAGATGAACAAAATGACTCGGATACAAAGTACCTGGGTAAAGCATCGAGTCTGGGGGACATGCAACCCCAATTAGTGCCACAAAGGGGAACACAAGATGCACAAGGGGGAGTATACGTTAATTCAAGATCTCTGGAATGGGGACACAGAGGGGCTCTTTCCATCGCAACTGGGGGAATCAGAGACGTGGCTGAGGTTACACAGTCAGATCTGAAAGTGCCCGATGTGGTCCGGATTACAACGTTCCATGGTTCACTCGACTTTAATTTAATCTTTGTTTATTTTCATTTTCATTACTTTCCTTATTTCTTACTTATACTTACACTATTCATACTACTCATATAATGTGACTCTCTCATTTGACGCCTATTCAAACAGAAACAATACCCAGCCATTAAGTACTATTTACGTCACCGAGCCACAACGCCGTTTTAAGCCAAGATCGGGCGCAGATGAAATCACAAAAGAAAAAACCAAAAAAGAACTGGAAAAGCAAACTCAAAAGAAAATAAATTAGTTAATTAATTAAATAATTCGTCAGTCTCGGAGCACGCTACCCCCTTGAGTACCCGCCGAAAGGATCGGATCGCAAGGGTATTGCAACACACGTTGCATAAGCTTTACAGAGATCGAGATCAAACACGGGACGTTTATCGGCGAGATCGCGTTGGCTGCACTCCATTTCAGCCTTGAATACCCTGTCTGACATCTGTAATATAAGAACTGTGCTGGTTGAAAGCGTGAAAAGCCCGGAGATATAAGAAGAGAGAGGCATATGGGCCGGTTGCCTTTCTAGGCGCCCTGCGTAAAGTCCAGGATCAAATCCCGGCTTCGATAGTGCTCGGCGCTTTCTCTATAGTGTCTTGAAAATCTGTTTTTCTACCAATTCCACCGATTTAATATTTTGTGCAGCTGTCTCAAAAGCACCTAAGGATCAAAGCTCTCATATTCAGAAAATCAATTTTCTGGAGCTTTAAGTTTGTTGGCCTCGGGCCCACCACGTTGGACGTCATCCACGGATATTTCCCCTTCAAGCGCTGGGAGGTGCACAAGTCTTGCTCAGTCTCTTTCGTACTGGAAATCAAAATTGTCTGATTTATCCCTAGCCCTCAAGGGTGGCACAGCAGAGCAGCTGTCATAGCCCCATCCGCCTCCTTGATCGCACTTCAGCGCACAGACTCAGGGGGGACCCATAATGATGTACGATATACATCGTATCCCCAACGGTCGGCCCAGGGTCTAAAAGATGAGATCTGAAAACGGTGTAAGGCAATCACCTCAAGATCTTCGGAGGTCCAATGCGGTTGATCCTCGACGATTTTTGACCGACTGCACGGAGTACTATTGCTGTACGCGATGCGGAGTACGCCTTATGGAATCACCTCGATCAGCCTCGAAGGCATTTGTATATCTTTTCCATGCATATACGCAAGAGCAAATCCCGAGTCTGGTACATATTTGATTCCCAGTGCATAGAAATCAGCTCATGCACTGGCCCGGTGTTTGCTCTAAGAATGAGCATGCGGCGTATAATCGCATAATTGCACAATGGACTTGTTGACGGGTCCGAAATCGACCGCTGCGTGGAATCGATCTACACAGTAGTCGCTGCATCTTGAGAGACCAGTGTACCAGCCGGATCTTACGATTTCAGCCACTCTGCGATGCATTCCGTGCGCACTGAAGATTTAGCGCATGCACGGTAGGTCACCTCCAGCACCCCCATCTGCCGAACATGAATGCAGTAAGGATCTCTCTGCCAGTTAGAGATTCTCCACCTGCACGGTAATGGAGCTGGGAGGGACAAGGCGCAGGTAAGGAAATCACAATGCTGGACCCCGGTGAGACTGATCACAATAGATCTGAGCCTGAAATCCATCGACTTACATTTGTACGGAGTACATCGCACATCATACAACAGATGAAGTGCCCAATTATGTCTGGGGAATTCATCAGGGGCACCGGCTTTCCCCGCGATGTCTCGGCGCCTTTCGATCTGAACTATCAGAATCGCAACTGGTCGCACTAGCCCGGTCGCAGACGCTAATGATGAATCAGACACGATCGAAGTATAATTTCTGCAATTGATCCAGTCGTTTTCAATACGGGAAAAAAGCCAACGGAGCCAGTTTTAATGGAGTCTATCCTGGTTGCCTTTTTACGGCAACTAGGAGTGCAGGATGAATACGCAGACGCCTTGACAGTGACATTTCTACGGGTCGCGTCCCACTGAGCATATAACTGGTCTTACTGAGGTATTCAAATATAGCGCGGTGGAAAGACTCTGGTGGAGAAGAAAATCCCTGAAAAGTGACTTCGGCATTGAAGATATTCACATGTTCACAAACCCCTAGCCCCATTTGAGGGAGATATTTGAGCGAAGGCCACAAACGCACCAGAAATCCACCTCTAGTGACCAACGACATGAATTCTCCAAGAAATTTGACGCCCACATCAAGCTATCTCCAGTTGGAGAAGATGCCGATCTTTGGCCACGCGCCTCTTCCTTTTTCATTTATTTTTACTTTACGATACGACCGCCAGTAAAGGGCGAAAATCATTGCCTAAGAAGCAGAAACGACTTCACAAAATAACTGGAGATCACCTGCAGACCACTGGAGACAGCTGGAGACAATGATCTCAGAGCAAGTCGATCGACAACCGTTAAAACCGTTTCTCCCCTGAGCTCGAGTGTGACAGACAATCATAGGAACATTATGTTCTAGCAGCATAATTTTTTTTCCGACTAACAATTGTGGAGAGCACATAAACAGACGCTCGAAGACTCCTAACTGCAAGGAGATGAGCGACAACTCAATTTCCTCAAGTTGGCAAGAGTTTAAAGTCCGATCCCAATTTTAGTGCGCATCGACCGTTGACTACCATTTTTTCTCCGATACCCATGAAGTCCCTCGAACTGGTATCATCCATTAAATGGGGCCTCCATATGAAGTACAAGACTATTGCATTGATATATGATTCCAGACTAATACGGAGTAGTCAATCTCAGGCAGCAGGTTCATCAATTCAGCCAAGAGTCTTCGCAAGGTTACCTGCTAACTCCGAAAAGAAGCTAAGACATATTCCCCTCACCGGGATGTTATAGCCGTGCAGACACAGCACGGT